AGCTATTCCAGAGGGGTCTTGGCAAGTTTGGTCTTATTTGTCACTTTATGGCATTTTGGCATTGCAGCCCAAAAGGACCAAGACACAGTACTCTGTTCTTGGACTCAGTGACATATACGTTTGGTTTTCCTTTTGCCTCTCATGTCTTCTCAGTCTTTTCTGATTGTTTCTCTTAACTTTTAAAGGCTAAATTTCTCAGGAATCAATCCCCAGCTTCATGATCCTTCTGTTCTCCATTCTTACTGGTTCCTTCTAGAGTTTCATTTGCCATTTGCCCTTTGGATGCTTCTTATTCTGTAATTTTCTCTATACCTCCTTGCCTAGCCCACTTCAACTACCGCCTACCTAGCATCAGCTAATTACTCAGGATTCAGCTCAAATGTACTGATAATGTCACTTCATCATAGAAGTCTTGTCATAATGATTGTTTATCTCTCTTACACTAGAAAAAATATAACATGATAGCAAGGAATGTGTCTGTTTTAGTCACTATTTTATGGGGAGGGGGATTTTGTAGGCATATAGAGAGTATTTGTTGAGTAAATCAATGTATATAAAAGAATGATTGTACATGGGGTGAGGCCGGTGCATGGGGAGCTATGAGTTATCAGAGGGAGGCTAGGTCTATATAACAAGTGACTTGGCAGGTTATGAAGCATGGGTATACTTCACATGAATTTTTAACAAGATGAGATTCTCATGGAGAACAATATTAAGTCTCATCAGTTTAGGTTGTTACTAAATGCATACACCAGTCTACTGATACAGCTATCAGAATATCTCAGTGGAAGTACATAGATATGTATATCCCCAGGCTTCAAGATAAGACAGCAGGATAAAGCAGGTGGCAGATGGACCAACTGGTCTAAAATACGGCAGCTTTCTATGGAAGCATGATACAGAGTAATTTGCACAGCTGGATGGAACATATGTGTAAGTGGCTTATGCTATTGGCGAGGTTTTGTTTTTGTTGTTTGGTTTTTAGGAGTGATTGAGAACTTATATTCAAAGAAAAATAAACTGAATGAATAAGGCTTTAACTTGAATCAATGTAGAAAACTACGTTTCCATTCACTGTGTTCCCAGGCAGCTACTAAGGTGATATCAGCACAACATAGAATGCTGCTCTACATTTACAATGCGATGACGGTAAATGGAGAAAACAACACATAAAACATATGAGTGTAATGAAAACACAAAGGTAGTTAGGAGCACGTGTTAGATTGGCTTGGTTGGTTTTCTTTTTCTTTCTCTATCTTGCCATAGTATTTTTATAAAAAGTAAAAGTACAAAACATTTTAATACTAATAAACATCATCATAAAAGAATAGCACTTAATTTATTTGCCCACTGTAAGCCCTCAACTTGAGATTATAACAATGGCATACGTGAATCACTTTAAGAGTGTAACTTTTACTATCAAGGTTTTTATGATAAGCTAAGTTGAATGCAAAGTGTACTATATATGAATTAGGGTATTTTTTTTATAAAACAAGAATTCTTTTGCCTATTGTTTCTGAGCACAATATTTAGTAATGAATATGTTGATAATGCTCTAACTATATAATACATTATTTAATAGACTCATCTGTCAAAAATACTTAAAAGAATGAAATAAAACATTTACAATTATATTTATAGACAGCCATGATTTTTCAAGACAAGCTTTACACATGGATGGAGGAGGAGACTCGGAATTATGTGATAACAGCTGTCATAACTTATTCTTAAAAGTATGGGGTGAAAATAACCATTGACATATATCAGTCTCCCTTCCAACTACAAGATATTCTCTAGTACTAAAAAATGTGTCTTGTGTCAGTATGCACATTATATAGTACAATTCTACTTTATACTTCAAGTGATCCCTAATTTTGATATTATACTGTTTCTCTCAATCTTTCTTGGTATAATTCATATTTTAAAAAGCAAAGCCTTTAGTGGAAGATTATCAGCAATTAAGAAAGGCTTTTTAATAGAATAGATAGAAATGCACCATGAGCTTAGTTTCTATCAAACATAAATTTAGGAAAAATATTGCAGTATAGGCAGAGGACACATATCCTTCAGTAGAAGATGAAAACCATTTCTCTCAAGTGTTTCTTCCAAGCCAATTTTCCTGGACTGTCTGATCTACATATTTGGTATGAGTTTTCTGAGAATAATAGCATGTTTACTTGAGGGCAATCAGTCTGCCATTGAGAGGGTTATGCCAATAAGAAATGAGTTCCTTGCCTCTGAGTTTTAAATATCTCAAAGGACTCAGTTGTTATAGTCAGTCCTATTTTATGTCTTCTTTCTCAAGTAAGAATAGACATGGAAAAATTAATCGTCTTACATGAGTACTTAACAGGATCATTTTAGTGGAGTTTTAAGAAACATTAAGCTCAAATTTCAAGGCTTTTGCAAAACCAAGGGGACCTTAAAAGAATACAAATTACACAGTGGCGTTTAATCATGACCTCTGCTGTACCTGCACTAGGTTTCCTGGTCTATATAGAAATGTAAAGGCATTAACAGAATTATCCAGTGAATTTAACCCAATTAGAGGATGTTCCTAGTTTCTATTGCACAGGCAAGCCTTTTAAAGTTCCTTAAATACCAAAGAAATGTAAAATGTATTTAACGGGAAGAAAGTCAATGGAAAGAGACAACAGACAACACAAATAGACATCTGAGCTTGCTAGTGCAGATAAAGTTTAGCCTGTGGAAATTCATAGTTTGCCTCCTCTAAGCATAAGCGCATCTGACTGAGGGATGACTGCTACATCAGACACCTTCTGATGTTATTTGTTAGCACTGTATAAAGTGCTAACAGTGTAGAAAGCATAATGACAACTACTTTAACATTTGTTTGTTATAAGACAATTTCAGAGAATGAACTTATTATCATTCTCTCTAGAATTCAGATCAGGGATTTATTTTTTTTTTAATGAAACTATTTGCACTCCCTCAGTAATAATTAACATTAAAGAATATTAAGTATGCAGTCACTTGGTTTTACTTATAATCAAACAACTTAAGATAAATCTCTTCTGAATGAAATTTGCTAAGACAATGTGTCTTCTGAGACAGCCTATCAGTCAGCAGGCCTTCTGAATAGTGGCCTATTCACCAGCAATTGATCAGATTAGTAGCTGATCTAATCAGAGGCCTCTATAACCAAGTTTGATCCAGTTAATAGTTGATCTAATTGGTGATTAATCTGACTAGTGATTGATTCCATCTGGTGGCTGACTCAATCCATAGCTAACCAAATCAGTAATTTCCATTAATTTTGTGGTTACTGATTAAGTCAATGGCTAATTTAAGCAGAATTTGATCAATTCACCACATACACAAGAGTAACTTATGTGAGGTGATAGATGGGGTTAGTAAGCTTAATTATTGTGATCAGTTCTTAATTAATACATCTATCAAATCATGTTATATACCCTATGACTGTATGTTTGGTTCATGATGTCTAAACTATAGTCTAACAAATCTACTGGTCAAACAAACATTGGGAAATATCTTGATGTAGACAGTCATTTTATTATTTCTTATTCCTTAACCATAACTGTTTGATCAAACTGTTACTGTTTTATAAAACTTTATCTATGGATATTTTCTAGCCTAAGTATGCTTTAATAAATTACTATATAAATATGAGAAGTTATATAAGATTAAATATTTCTTAGTTATGCAACATATTTTTGGAATATGGAATAATTAATATCTGTTATCACAGTCATATGTCAAAGTATGTTTCCAAAGATTACTTCAACAAGGTCATCCACTTTTATAACAATTTACAAAGGCTTTGCATAATGTCATTAATTAAAATGCAACAGTAGCTACCACTTTAAAGATGTGCTATCTGAGGCTGAGAGACAGGTGTTGGGAGTCATGACCAAGAGTGAGCAGAGGAACAAAGACTTAGTTTTTGTTTAGGTTCACATTACAGTGTGACAAACTATGGTCAAATCTTCCTTCTAACTGTCCAAATCTGGATTAAGTATACTCATTTCCTTATTCTTTTGACATGCAGCATGTATAAATGAATCCATGAATGATCAGAATTCATACACTGTCACACTGTTATTTCTACAAAGTCAATAGATGTTAAGAAGGGTCTCACGGTCATTTTCCCATCACTGATAATTTTAAGGCTGAGATTGGTATCAACTTTTACTTGAATAATAGGAGTTATATGAAAATTATCTACCTAAAGCTGTAAGAAACTAGATATATAGCAAATCAGCTAGAGTATGTTCTACAAGATAGTTGACTTTTTCTCTAAGTCTAAAGTAGCTGCTCATGTTTTTAAGATGGCCCACCAGTCATCTTATTTGCATACCTGAAGTTCTTAATATTTTACTCCTATTATAAACCTTTTTTCATGGATTCTCAGAGCAAAATATTTTATTTCTTTTATGCTTTGAGGTTACTACAATTTTGGCACAAATCATCGACTTCACACTAAATTTTATATGCTTAATCCTTCTGCTGTCTTATAGGATATGAATTATCAGTTTGTATTGGGTGAAAAGGGGGATGATGAAGACCATTGTTTTTTTCCAAAGTAACCTACATTTCTTTGAAATAAAAAGAATCTTGAATATAACAAATCTTTGCCAAACATTAAAGTTTTGTTTTATAGCAAATCATTTTTGTAGAAGAATTGCATTTATACAAAATTATAATTAATGAGATATTTAGCCACTAATAGCATCAGAAAATATTTTCAGTCTGACAATTAAATGTTTTATTGTAATTGTTTATATTGGATTTTAAACTACCACTTACCTTCTTGAGTGGATCTTTACAAAATTAAGATTTCATGTTGAAAAGAGCCATTCTAAGTAAACATATTGTGTAACAAGTACATTGTTTGCTTAATAGTTCTTTTAAATAATCTGTCTTAGTGCCAGAGCACTGACATAAAGTCCAAATATTTGACCTTAACATATTAAAATCATTTTTATTAAAATAAATTCCCCAAAGTGAATCTCACTTACTTTGCTTTCGCTTCTGCATCTTCATATGCTTTGTTAGAAACATCATCCAGTCCTCCAATCAAATGCTTGAATGAGCTGTCAGAGGAAAACCAGAGTGATCAAGTTAAGTCCTCTGCAAAGTCAAAATAATGGCAACCAGTCATTAATAGTGAAATGTTTTAAAGTCATCTTAATAAAACTAAATTAAAAAATTCAAGAAATACATTAGACAGCAGAATTTCCTCTAATTTGGTCTTAAAAATTATGAGGTCAGGGGCTTCTTCTATCTGGTCAACCTCTACACCCAATACCTAATCACATCTAACAATCATGTCTGGCAAAACAGATATTGAGCCACCTGGGTGGAATAAAATCTAGACTATGCTAATAAGTCAATTCTTATCAAACTGAAATAACAATGAACTGCCAATGAGAGAATGCCTACTCTGTCATCTAACTAGGATTAATTTTTATTAATTTCAATGCAATATCTAAAAGGCAAGCAGCAGAGGTATCTCCATTTAAAAGAAAGCAAATGATCTTCATACACAAAGTAAGAATTATAGAAAAATTAACCCATTTAAGAAAGTGAAAATAAACTCACTTTGCTATGAAGTAGAAATATTAACTAGAGACAATCTATTCAATATCTACTATATATCTAGAACTGTCTTTAGATTTACTTTATATAATGAAGTGTTATCATCTTCTTAAAATATAAAATGTTATATAATAAAAAACCAATGAATACACACATAGTAGGAATCCCTTTGAAATTTACTGAATAGAGCCAGATACAATAACTCTCACAAGTGACATTTTGGCAATCACTGAAATAGACTGGAAGAGAAACACAAAAGAAACTCAATAGAAGTCTATCTGGACTGTCACATAATAACCAGAACTTCACAGTCTTATGTGGTCCCGATAACTTTAGTAGGTTGTACTTCACTGGAGAAAATGATTCACTTGAACCAGGTCCTTGGCAATACTTTGTCTCTGTGTCTACTTTCTTTCTGTTTGCATCATCCATCTGCTATAATATTCTATCTGAGTGCATGGAGTGAAGTAACCATGGGCCAAGCCCTCTGAAATGGTGAGCTAAAATGAATCTTTAAGTTCTTATTTTTTTTCCTTTTTTTTTATTTTGCAGTACAATTTAGTTCTACATATCAGCCACAGATTCCCTTGTTCTCCCCCCTCCTGCTCCCCTCCCCTTCCCCCCAGCCCACCTCCCCATTCCCACCTCCTCCAGGGCAAAGCCTCCCCCGAGGGCTGAGATCAACCTGGTAGACTCAGTCCAGGCAGGTCCAGTCCCCTCCTCCCAGGCCGAGCCAAGCGACCCTGCATAGGCCCCAGGTTTCAAACAGCCAACTCATGCAATGAGCACAGGACCCAGTCCCACTGCCTGGATGCCTCCCAAACAGATCAAGCCAATCAACTGTCTCACCCATTCAGAGGGCCTGATCCAGTTGGGGGCCCCTCAGCCATTGGTTCATAGTTCATGTGTTTCCATTTGTTTGGCTATTTGTCCCTGTGCTTTATCCAACCTTGGTCTCAACAATTCTTGCTCATACAAACCCTCCTCTTTCTCGCTAATTGGACTCCCAGAGCTCCACCCAGGGCCTAGCCATGGATCTCTGCATCCAGATCCCTCAGTCGTTGGATACCACAAGAGCACTTGTTCAGCTATGTTCATATCAGCATTGTTTGTAATAGCCAGAAAATGGAAACAACCTAGATGCCCTTCAACTGAAGAATGGATAAACAAAATGTGGTACATATACACAATGGAATAATACTCAGCAGAGAAAAACAATGACATCATGAGGTTTGCAGGCAAATGGATGGATCTAGGAAAAATCATCCTGAGTGAGGTAACCCAGACTCAGAAAGACAAACATGGTATGTACTCACTCATAGGAGGATACTAGATGTGGAACAAGGAGGACTGGACTGCTACTCACATCACCAGGGAAGCTACCTGGAAAACAGGACCCCAAGAAAGACACGGGGATTGCCCAGTGACGGAGAAATGGAAGAGATCTACATGAACAGTCTGGACATGAGTGGGGGTAATGAAGGGCGAGGGTCGAGGGAAAGAGAGTTTGGGGGAGCGGGAGATCCCAGCTGGATCAACAACAGAGAGGGAGAACATGGAATAGGAGACCATGGTAAATGAAGACCACACGAGAATAGGAAGAAGCAAAGTGCTAGAGAGGCCCACAGAAATCCACAAAGATACCCACACAACAGACTACTGGCAATGGTCAAGAGACAGCCCGAACTGACCTACTCTTGTGATGGGATGGCCAAACACCCTAATTGTCGTGCTAGAATCTTTAAGTTCTTTCTGTCAGGTATTTGGTCACAGTGATAAGGGTATAATGAATATACCAGGCATTGCTCAGTGGTGACAAGTACTATACAATGTTGTAAGTTACTATCACCTTCATTTTATTGGTGTTAGAAGTTTACCCTAAATGTTACACCTAGTAAATGTGATGGACTCATAGGAAGGAAATGATCATTCTCCTTCCTATTCAATAATCTATTCCATAATGCCTATTCCAATCACCATGCTTTGAAGATAGTGATGAAAAATTTTAGTAGTATATAGGCTCTTAATTAGGGGTTTTAAGGTACCATATTAAATTAAAATTTTATACCTCTATTAATTTTTTGTATATGCATGTATATGTGGTTGTGTGTGTGTGTGGTTGTTTGTGTTCACATGTGAAGTCCAGAGGCTGATGCCAGATGCCTTCCTTGATCTTTCTCCAATGTTATATATTGAGGCAAGTTTTGAAGACAGAACTTGATTTGTTTCTTCTAGCTAGCCAGTTTGCTCTGTGGATCGCCTGTCTCTATTTTAAGCGCAGGGATTCCAGACAAGTATCTATGCCAGCCCTGGATTTGTATGAGCACTGAGGAGCTGCACTTCAGTTCTCACACTTGTGTAGCAAACATTTTACCTTTTGTGTGTTCTCCCCTGTTCCGTCTGCACAATTTCTATTTGGAAGTACTGAGGACTGAATCTAAGGTCTCTTACATTCTAGACAAGCTGTATAACACTAAATCACACTCACAGTCTTTTCATAATCTCAATCTACAAAGGGTATGCATTTTGAGCATCAAATAATAAATTATGCATGGTCAGTTCCTGAACCACAGAAGAAAATTTGATGATTTAAATTTCAAAGTTATTTAATTGCTTTCACTTATAATTACTTTTGCAAAAAACTATAAAGAAGAATAGAACAACAGAGGACTGGCAGCTGTTATCTCAGATCCCTGGTGGTGATCCATCTGGGAGGCTGATTCACTACTATGCTGTGCTCAACACAGTCATGCCGATACACAAAAGGAGACAAAAAGGAAGTTTTGAGACACAGGCCTAGGAAATCAAGAATCTCATTCCAAAATATGAAGTTTAATGTAATTAATTTATTAATTTGTACTGAAGGAATAGGCAGCAGTCTGTAATTTTTCAAAAATGTTATCAATAAAATAAATGATAACTATATTTTCTATTATTGAGAAAAAGTTTCAAATGTGATTTCAGACATTTTTCTCTTTATTTTACTTTGTTCTATTTCTTGTTTATGCTTGTTTTAGCTAGTTAACACTTTATTATATTTTTATTTACTTTTTTTAACCATGAATGCCTATAATTTTTGTTAGTTACATTCTGATGAATCTGGAGAAAGGAAACAAAAACATAATTTTCACTCAAATAATAGCATAAAATGTTAGCTTTTCTTTTTTTTCCTACTTGTTATTGGAAGTAGATTTTTTTCTTCTTACGTAATATATCCTGATTACAGTTTCTCCTCCCTCTACTCTTCCCAATTCCTTCCCACCTCTACTCACCATCCAATCCACTCCCTTTTTGTCTCCTCTGGGAAAATAAACAGGCTTCTGAGGGATAACAATAAATTAAAATATAAAATAATAATAAACACAAAAACTAACATGATGGAATTGGACAAAACAAACAGGAGGAAAAGAGCCCCAGGGAAGGCACAAGAATTAGAGACCCACCAGTTCACACACTCAGGAATCCCATTAAAACACTAAACTGGAAGCCATAATACACATGCAAAGGACCTGGTGCAGACCCTAGCAGGCCCTGTGTATTTTGCCTTAGTCTCTGTGAATTCATATGAGCTTTTATCATTTTGATTTAGAGGGCTTTGTTTTTTTGGTGTCCTCCATCCCCTTTGGCTCTTAGAATCTTTCTGCTTCTTCTTCCCTGAGCCCTGAGGGGAAGGGATTTGATGGATACATCCTATTTAGGGTTGGCTGAGTGTTCCAAGGTCTCTCATTCTCTCTACAATGCCTTACTGTAGATCTCTATTTTTGTTCCTATCTGCTGCAGGAGGAACCTTAGCTGATAATGGCTGAGCAAGGCACTGGAATATGAGTACAGCAGAATATCATTAGGAGTCATTTTATTGCTACTTTTTTTAAAAGAGCAATAGTATTTGATTTTACCCTAGGTCCCTGGACTATCTAGTTTGTTTTGAGGCAATGTTTCCACACTAAAGCTCAGGCCAGCCTAGAATTTATTATCCTGCAAAAGTTGTCTGAACTCATGATCTTTCTCTGTCAGCCTTCTGGCTGGTAGGATTCTGGGCATGTGTCACTACACCCAGCACCACTAGTATTTATACAATTAGCTTTGATATTTTCCCATAGAATGTATTAGTCCATAACTAAACTTGGAGAAAGTCTTATTTCAGAAAAACTCTAATGTCCAAAAATGGGCTTAGTTATCCAGTGACATGTGGCTAGGGGAGTGTCTTTTGTTTGCTCTCAGTATAGCTGTGTTATTGTTTAGAGTTAGAGTCATTAAGTAGCTATGAGTCAATGTTATTTTTAAATTTGCAACATTGTATACATATTTAATTTTCTTTTAAAACTTTAAGCAATATTTTAACAGTGAATAGGTTACTATATGTACATATGGCATAGAATATCTATCTACATATCTCTGATATATACAAACACACACGGACACATATACACAGTGAAGCAGGAAGTATGCTTACTGTGTACACAAACAACATTTGTACTCTAGACTGTATATTCAA